GTACAGATACCCAAAAATTCTACTTAAGTACAGTAACAAAGTATTTGTACTTAGTTACATTACAACTCTGATGACTACTGGTCTGGGGTCTTCGTTTTCACCCGGTGGCTGGCTGGAGTCCTGTTTGGGTTTCTTGTCAGGAAAACCCAGTTGTAATAACCACATTGTTCCAGGGCTTGTCCTGTGTGTGATTTCTGCAGTCCTCATTTATAAAGGATTGCATAGAATCCATACTAAAAGTGTATGTTTCAGAGACTGAGACGTCACAGGCAGTCAACTCCAACCTGCCATTATTTTTAACATCCTCTCGTGCGAACTTTACGCCGCTTATAGGCTGTGTTTACCTCTTCAGACTGAAGAAGTAGCTTGAAGAACAGACAAAACTCGTTCAGAGGACCTACTTAACTTTTTTGAGGTACACTTGACTTTTTTAGGTACTTAGCGCCATTTTTACGTCTTCCTTTGTCGTAAATGTGGGTCAAATCGCTCATTGCTCCAATCACGTGTWTAGGTGAGTGACCAATCAGAACGCTCCCCGGAGAGTACTTCCGGTGGTAGTACTTCCTGTCAGTGTTTGTAAACTGTGACAAAAAAAATTGGAAGTGCGACAAGAATTATTAAGCCTCAGCATTATTAAAATCGAAAGGTAAGCGTTTAAATTGTCAGCACGTTTCATTTGTGGCTTTCTAAGCGATTTAAAACGGTCCGCTCTCGTGTTCCTGGCAGCTTAGCCGATGAGCGAGGCGCTGAGCCCGCACGCCCTGCCTGCCCTCCCAGCCTGTCGTTGTCTTGTCTGGGTCCGGTTCGGCTGTACAAGAGCAGCCCCAAAACCCCGTGTATTTGCTAGTTAGCTGTTTTTTGAGTTCAGACCAGTGTAGCTATTACTTTTGTTTAGCATCCGTGTTAACAGCGGAACACAGTAGCTTATAAACCAGGTGATATGGTCTTTTCCCTCTCTGGTGTGCTTATATTAACAAATACGTTTTTATGGATTTTTAATGGATGTGTATTCACTAAACAAAAAGCTGGTTACATGGTACTTGTGGGCAAACACTTTACTTTAGATCCATGAATTATATTATTCCAGATAATTTCTGCTGCTTTAAATTCTAAAGAACACTCGTCAAATCAATACACTGCAGTAAATTTGTTTTGTTTTGTTAACGGAAGATTACTATTGTTTGAATTTATACTTGAGAAAAAAGGGGCAGATATTATAAGATTTTTCTTCTTCTCTCTGCTACCTTTCATTTCATTGTATTTTCTTTCTTTTTTATTGTAAATAGATTTTTTTAAAGAAATGAATAAAGTTTAAATCAAATTACAAAATAATAAAATAAGTGGTCAGTGCTCATTAAAAAAAGAATATCCACTATCTAATATCATTACTTGCCCTTAAAAATATACATATTGAGTGTTTGGATGAAGAACTGTGCAAAATGGAAAATATTAGAGATTTTGCTCAATATTCAAWTCAATTCAAAATTCAAATTCAAAAATACTTATTTGATCCCAGAGGGAAATTAGGTATTCATGGATTTCCACCAATATCTACCCTTGAAATATTGTCTCTGAGCAGGGGAGAGAGCCTGATAACTGTCACACTTCTAACCCTCGACTTTAGTATATAAATAGTTTTGTATTTATCTTTATTACCTAATATATGAAACATTTGATTATGAATTAAAACTATATAAAGTGTATTTTACTTTCATATTTTCCTTTTTATGTTTTTTTTTTTTTATATATACATGCTGTTTTCTGTCATCCATCCAAACCCAAGGTATGCCACAAACGTCTCTGGCTCTCTTTCCGGATGAACAAAGCTCAATAATGTTCGACCGGAATCTCTGGTCACGTATCCATCTGCCTCTATTTTCAGACTTTGGTCCCCGATGATTTGTGTGTGTGTGTGATCTCTTCTGTCACCCCTCATCCTGAGTGAAGCCCCCCCTCTGTCCCCTCAAACACGCACGCATTCAAACCACGGCGATGACACACCATTCCACCAATTCAGTTCGAGACCATATGAAATGGGTCAGTGGAAGTCTCTTCATCTCCAGAATCACCATCATGGTTGCATTAATGTGTCACTTCCCATTGCTCGCAACCCCACCTCCAAGTTCCTCCCGACTCCTCGTCTCTGTGAGGAGTCCTGTGACCTCCCTCTGTACTCTCTGACATGTGATGGTTTGTGTTGCCAGGCTGGGTTGCTGGGCTGCGAAGCGGTGTTGTCTAGCATGGCCTTGATGCAGGCCAACAATATGCCAGGCCAGAAGAAAATGTCATCAATGGGTCAGGGGCACAGGGCCAATCCTGGGAGCCACCAGACACACTCACAACACAGCCACAACCACCAYGGACACCAGGTTCACCACGGACAAGCCCACCACAGCCATATGGGACACCCCTCAGGCGGGAGCCTTCCACCCCTGGTGAGAGAGATGAGAGCCGCTGCTCTGTTTGTTTATATTGTATGAAGAAAATATTGTCATTTTGCAGTCCATGATCATGTTTAATTCTTAGCATCAGTATGTTTGTATTTTTAAACTACCAGTCTAAAAAAAATAAAGCAGACTAGCTTTTTCGATGCCAGTGCATTTTATCTAATGTGACGTGTGCTTTATTTTTTTTAAGCTAATCCGAAAAGATGGAGACTATCACACGTCAAGGATTATTGAGAGCAAGGATGCCCAGACAAACCAGAATTTGCACCGCAAGAAGAAACACAAAAAATCTTCCCACAAGGTGAAAGAGAAAGTTGAGGTGAGAACTCTAAGAACAAATGTTTATTCTGATTCACCGCTGCAGCCAGATTCAGTTTCCTCTTATTGTCTCGATGTTTATAGCAGTTATTGCCACACTTTGATATGGATGACGACAACTCCTTCAAAGTTCAGAAGAACTTYATCTGTGATCACTGCTACGGGGCTTTCCGGAGCAGCTACCACCTAAAGCGACATATCCTCACACACACAGGTGAGAACCCAAAGTTTATTATTCAGCTCAGTAAAACCGTACTGGATCCAGAATTCTTTCTTTTTTTTTATTTTGCTTTGGCCTCATCCACACCTGGTATAATTAWGTGTCTAATCACGTTTAGACAGCTCTGTTAGGATTCTATGATTTTTAAGCTCTCGCTCTTAAGACAGGAAAAAAAAGTCAGCTGTGGCAAAGAGGTTATAGGTGAAACACCATGTGAAGCTTAGCACAAAGTTTAGTGCAGAACAGAACTTCTAAATACCTTCCGAAAGCATTTAATGTCCTACTGAACCTCAGCAATTTGTTATATTTGTGAAAGTGAAATAACAGCCATTCCTTTTTGAATTCTGTGGCTTTTTATTTGTTAAAWWWTTTTTTCAGTCACTTTATAATTCCACACTTTTTAGATGAAAAAAATGTGGTTATAATGAAAATGTGGAATTTAGGGGGAAAAATGAAAAAAAAAAGCAGAATTTAGGGAAAGAATAAAACAGCTTTTAAAGGGTCCTACTCTATGTATGACTGTCGACATTTAGTTTTAAGGGGGTGWGCTTAGACTTACTAATTTTATAAGCAAAAATAACGTGTAATATATGTCAAACTGTCTGAGCAACAAACAAGACATCRATTATATCCATAAATACATTCAAGGCGCTGAGTTATGTCAATAGTAACACCTTTTAGAGTCACATTTCCTGCAGATTTTTTAACAAACGTTACATGTTGCAGAAGCTCAATATCAGCAAGATCCTGTTGACTTAAGTTTTACAAAACAAGCCGCTTCAGTTTTYTTTTCATTTATTGTGTGTGATAGTTTAGTTATGTTTATTCATCTAAAGCAGAAGTCAGAAATGTAAAGAGTTATTACATAATGGTAATCCATATTCCACACGTTTGCTTCCAGGGGAAAAACCCTATGCCTGTGATGCGTGTGATATGCGGTTCATTCAGCGTTACCACCTGGACAGACACAAGAGGGTGCACAGTGGAGAGAAGCCGTACCAATGTGATCGATGTCATCAGGTCAGTCTAATGTATTTGGTACTTAACATGCACTGTATCTTCATACTGTAACCCTGTGTCTGCTGCCATATTTGAAGCTAACTTTTTTTTGTGTGTTTACAGAATTTTTCACGGACAGACAGGCTGCTGAGACACCGACGGCTGTGTACAGTTGGAGTGAGCAAAGAAGAAAACCAGTACTCCCAGAACGCAACTCCCCACACAGCATCTTGGAGTCCGCTCCAGCCCTCCAACAACCGTCTCTGACTGTCTGAGCAGGAGCTCTCCAACATCAGTCCGCAGTTCAGTTCCACCTCTCACTGGAGTTTTGATCCGGAAAAAAAAAAATCCTGAGCTCAAGACAACTTTAGTTTGCTCTCGCCAACTGGTTCATTGAGCTCAATACTGGATATCTGTTCTTTCTGCTTACTGTTACATTCATCATACAAGCAGAGGTGGATGGACAAGCTTGGACTGTGGGTGATTATGAAAATAACTGACAAAAGTAGTTCTCAAGATTTCAAGTTGTTTTATTTTTTTCAATTCAGAAATGTCTGCCTCCATTAGTGGTCCAAACAGTTCGATACTTCTTTCACATTCTTTTCACCTGTAATCAACTCTGCACCTGCCTGTTTCCATATTTTTTAAACATGGACATTTAATGCGAGACACACAAAGCAAAGTAACATTGTAGTGTAAAACTCTTTGTCTTATGTTTAGTCATAAACCAGCTACTACTGACAGGCAGAATGCTGGCAACAGCTTTATTCTATTTTTTTTCCTAAACGGAGTAATCGCCAGTTAAATGCTGTAGATCAATTTAATGTATACTGATTTAAATACTTTATTACAGTGTAAAATTTTAAATAGTTATTTCTTTATTCTGTACGTAGAAAATAGTATTTCYTTGCTCAACACACAAATAGATCTGAACTAAATTCTTACATGCTAATTATGTAAACAAGCAGAACTACACCTTCAAATAAGGTGTAAAAAAATCAAACGAGAGCACTAATGTTTTGTATCTGTTTTAGTTTTGCTTTTTATTAGTAACTGTTTGCACACATGCTCACAATTTGACTTTGTCTTACATGAATTTGGTCAATATATATATACTTCATATATATATGAATATATATATATATATATATATAAATAATCTTACACTGTTAGTTGTAATATGTATGTGGCTTTTTAGAAGCCCAGATCATTTGAAGCCTGTGGATAGTGGCAGTCARGAGTAACTGGAATAAAACAAAAACTTGTTCCAAATATGACTTTTTCTGGTGTTTGCCCAAAAAGACCCCCTGATGGACATTCTTGGTGTTAATGTTTTCTCAAAACAAAACCATATCAATGTTTTCTCAATTTATTAGTTATAGATTTCTGTTTCTCTATAAAACTGTCATATTTTTGAAATGTATTCATGTTCATCAAGTTCTTGATGAAACTTGTGATGGAAATGATTTGATAAACATGAGTAAGACTGTTTCCATATTCTTTTCTGGGTGGTGAAAACCATTAATTTATCTCATTTGCAAATTTAAAGTGCTGACCTCTGTCTGACTGAATGTTTTCTGATTACGGTGCTGTATTATTTCCTGTCCCGTTTGCATCTTCAGTGAAGATGGATGGTTGTCTTTTTGTTGACAGGAAATGAGTTCAGGCCTGCAAATCTTGAAACTAGASTGTAATCACCAAACTAAAGTTGTAGTTCACTTGTAAAGGAGCCTGTTTTAACCGTTCTAGACAAAAATGTTTTATTGTAGTCAGGTAGCTCTGTTGCTGTCAAGCTTGTAGATTGTGCAATCAGAGTTTGGCGTCCGCCATTTACTTTTTACAGCTTGTGAACTTAATATATTTAGAGGTTTCAAATGTCTTAGGTGTAGCCATTAGTGTGCCTGGGACCTAACCACCAAAAGCAAATCAAAGCTTTTACAAGATCCTTAGTCCTTGTTTTTTTTTTCAAACTTGTGCTGAAAAGGTCAGTGCAAGCCACTGCTGGGTTTAGACAGATTTTATTTGCCATCTGTATTATTTCAGTAATAACCATTATGTAGAGTAGTTCCATGATTTTGTTTATTGCATGTAATTGTTAAATGAGCTTGTAAATATATTTTTTTTCTTTAATGAAGGCCTTTAGTATTTTGTCATGTCGGGACTGAAGTGAAAAGGCGACTTTGTCACTTTGTACTGAACGGGGTCACAATAAAGGTTTGTTTTTGGTTTTTTAATATTTTTTTAACATGGAATGCCCTTTATTTATTCTGCATCAATGGTTTTCAAAATTAATTTGTAACACAGTTTATTCTGAGTTTGCCTTCTGAGAGTCAAATTATTTTTAAAGTTACATGAAATACACTCTTATTTCAGCTGCTTTGTAAAAAGAAGTAATACGGCGTTATGTCAGCAGATGGCAGCCATGACTAAAAGACCCAGTTTTCTTTCCAGCTTAAGATGAAGTGGAGGAAACAGGAACAATTTACCTGCATTGGTCACACTCTTGTGAAAGTAAGGAGAAGTAAATGGAAAAACTGTGCATTTTTACAGGGGTCCTTTGCAGCTGATGCAATATGAAGCTGAACAAAAAGAATTGCATCACAATGCAAGGATTTTTACCTGTAAACGTTTTCCAAGGTTTGAACAAGAGCCCATTGCAATCAATTTTTTGTTTCTTGATGTAACCCAGTACAACACCTTCAAACAAATGGTGTTTAGATTTAGCTTTTCAATAACTAAAGCTGAGAAAAGAGATAAAGACTCTGTGGTTTATTCTGCTTTAAAAACTGGAGAAATGTGGACATTTCACTCAAATCCCTTTCAAAGCTCTTAAACATTCAGCTTAAGGTGAGAATTTCATTGAATAAAAAGCTTCATCAGATGGCTGTATTAGCAGTCGGGAAGTGTATTTATATCAAAATTTTCTGTTTAGAAATGTGATTTTTATAGTGGATAATGAAACACATTTATTTGTGGGGTGATAGGTGAAACGGTGTACAAAGGTTTACAAGACACAAGCTCACAGCCTTAAAATAAGACGCAAAAGCTCACAATTGTTTTCCATTTTTACAACACCAAAGTGTAATATATATGCAGCGGGTAAAATAAGTATTGAACACGTCACCATTTTTCTCAGTAAATATATTACTAGAGGTGCTAATGACATGAAATTTTCACCAGATGTCGGTAACAACCCAAGTGATCCATACATACAAAGAAATCAAACCATAAATGTCCAGAAATGAAGTTATTTGTAATAATGTGGAATGGCACAGGGAAAAAGTATTGAACACACTTACTGAAATTTATCTAATACTTTGTACAAAAGCCTTTGTTGTCAATGACAGCTTCAAGACGCCTCCTGTATGGAGAAACTAGTGGCATGCATTGCTCAGGTGTGATTTTGGTCCATTCTTCCACACAAACAGTCTTCAAATCTTGAAGGTTTCGTGGACCTCTTCTATGAACTCTGATCTTTAGTTCTTTCCATAGATTTTCTGTTGGATTCAGGTCAGGTGATTGGTTGGGCCATTCCAGCAGCTTTAGTTTCTTTCTTTGAAACCAACTGAGAGTTTCCTTGGCTTTGTGTTTGGGCTCATTGTCTTGCTGAAATGTCCAGCCACGTTTCATCTTCATCATCCTGGTAGATGGAAGCAGATTTTTATCAAGAATGTCTCTGTACATTTTTTCATTCATCCTTCCTTCAATTATTTGAAGTTTGCCAGTACCATATGCTGAAAAACAGCCCCACACCATGATGTTCCCACCTCCAAACTTCACTGTTGGTATGGTGTTTTTGGGCTGATGTGCAGTGCCATTTGACCTCCAAACAYGATGTGTATTCTGGCATCCAAACAGTTCAATGTTGGTCTCATCTGACCAGACTATATTCTTCCAGTATTACACAGGCTTGTTTAAATGTTGTGCAGCAAACTTTAAAGGAGCTTCAACATGCTGTTTCTTCAGCAGTGGAGTCTTGCATGGTGAGCGTGCATACAGGCCATGGTGGTTCAGTGCATTACTTTTTGTTTTCTTTGAAACAATCGTACCTGCTAATTCCAGGTCTTTCTGAAGCTCTCCACAAGTGGTCCTTGGCTCTTGGACAACTCTTCTGATAATTCTTTTCACTCTTCTGTCAGAAATATTGTGAGGAGCACCTGGTCGTGGTCGGTTTATGGTGAAATAATGTTCTTTCCACTTCTGAATTATGGCCCCAACAGTGCTCACTGGAACCTTCAGAAGTTTAGACATTCTTCTGTAACCGATGCCATCATTATGCTTTGCAACAATAAGGTAGTGAAGGTCTTGAGAGAGCTCTTTACTTTTACCCATCATCAGATGTTTCTTGTGTGATACCTGGTCATCATTTGGGACTGAACCAGCTGATATTAAYTTGCACTGACAAGGGGCAGGCTTGCTTTCTAATTACTGAGAGAGTTCAGCTGGTGTCTTGGCTTTCCATGCCTTTTTACACCTCCCTTTCTTCATGTGTTCAATACTTTTTCCCTGTACCATTCCACATTATTACAAATAACTTCATTTCTGGACATTTATGGTTTGATTTCTTTGTATGTATGGATTACTTGGGTTGTTACCGACATCTGGTGAAAATTTCATGTCATTAGCACCTCTAGTAATATATTTACTGAGAAAAATGGTGACTGTATGACACCTCAGAGTTGTTCACATTCCCTTTTTGAGTTGTTTTAACCACTTGAACAAGATTGAACAGCTGCTATGTTAATAAGTGAGTTTCTGATGGAAGTGCGTCATACAGTTTGGGATACAAAACTCAAGTAGTATTTGTAACCTCATACAGTATGTTTACATTTGTAATGCCATATATCAATGGTTCAGTCCCTGCTCAGGTCATTTACCATATGTATGATGTAAGGGCTGTGCATAAAAACTGATATATTGATATGTATTGATATAAAACAACTGATATCAGATTATTTTTCTTTTTTTAGAAAGATACATCCCCAACCCTTAGGGGGCAGTATAACAAGGCGTGCTGCAAAGTGGAATCAATGAGTAAGTAAAGTAGCCATCAGGATTCTGGAAACAACTTTGTCCTTAAAAGCACGTGTTTGTAAACATTTTGTTTGTTTTTAGATAAATATTTATTATAATTTTATAATATTTTTTGCTGGTTTTGTTGAGTCAGTGAGACTGAGAAATAAATATAAAGTAATATATATTGAATCATATCAAGCTGTACTGAATCGAGAATCTTATTGTGTCGTGAGCTCGTAGGTGATACCCAGCCCTAATGTTTCTTTGTTTGCGATATAAGTCTTATTGGACAGCCTTCGGCATGGGGCAGTGACAGTGACATTTGGACACAGCCGGAGACTGAGGTGAAATACTTTTGGAGAAGTGATTGAGAAGTCTGTTCCCCTGTCTCCCTGTGTCGGTATTAGCACACTAGTTGTACAGTTGGAAGTGCAGATCATACCCTTTAGCGTCTTCCTCTGTGCTATTGACTAGTTCTTTAATTACAGCATTAGGATAGGTGGGATGACATCAGCTTGAAGGCTGCTGGAAGTGTGCGCTCCTCCCCATGGGAGACATCCTCTCCCTCTGCAGCCTGATTTACAGCCCCCGCAGCCCCCCCAGCACTTAACAATGGAACTTCTTAAGTGAGGCAGATGGAGAGGAGCACAGAAAGGATAAGATAACACTCCATCTTTTGTGCACGAGGTGYTGAAATCATCTAGGTTTGAAATCACGAGACGGACCGATCATGAAGTCAGTCCAGAGGTAAAGTGTGAGTGCATGCCTGGTCCTCAGTGGAGTTCCCTCCGTTATAGAGGAGGCTTTCTTTCTATAAGACCGACAGCCAAACCTCTGCATTCTCACCTCTCACAGATATGTCCCTGACAATCAGTTAGTCTCAGCTACCTGTGCACACTGGTTCTCCACAAACAAACTCTGAGGTTTACAAAAAAATAAAAAAATAACAGTGTAATCGCTCTGTCTCCAACAAATGTTTGGTTGTGGCCCTGATCAAACGCATCACAAGCTCGCCTCAAATGATTAAAACCCTCGCAACAATAGCTCCTGCTATCTCCCTCTCCCTGAGGTGTGGAGGAGCCTTTTCAACTCAGGCTTTGATTAATAAAGGAATCGCTGGTTGGTTGAAAGCAGCAATCTGCCCCCTCTGAGCATCCATCAAGCCTGTGACAGCCCACCTCTCCGTGTTAATTAGCAGTGATATTTAAGCTGTCTGAGTTGTTCCATGGCCGTCAGCGTGTTGGTGGTGCTGCGCTTCATTAAAATTTCAGCTCCTCTGTCCAGGTTACTCTCATTTTCCTCAACACCTCAGTGAACATGTCCTTTAACGCTCACACTGAAGCACAAGTCTTGCAGAAATCTAAAAAAAAAGTATGGAATTAAAGGAAATGTCTGTGAATGTAGATACACTTTTCTCTTTTATYCATTTGAAACAACTTTGTCACATGAATTGTGAAAACATTAATTTGATATATCACCCGTGCTGAATAATGATTTGATATTACATGAAAGAATTTGCCATAAACCCTCAAASTTCTCTTCAAACAAGGACCAGAGAAAATGTGAATGCATTACATATTAATGATTGCCAAACACTGCAATGTTCTCCCCCACCTAAGGCTATTATTCAGAAATAAATTATTTATGTGGCTGAATCCTAGCCTGTTATACCCAAGAGGTATTTTGCAGGCAAATTGAGAATTTTAAAGGGTGCAAAACTGAAGAAAAGCTGGGTCAAAGGAAGCGCATTGTTGCTAAAAGCAGCATTTTGACACCAATTTGAAAACAGACCAGAAAAAAATGCTTCCAGAGGCTTCACAAAGTTGGTACAAAGTGTTTGCCAAATTACCAAAGTGTTACCAAAATCTAACAAATGTTACGGAGGTATACCAGGGGGTTATCTGCCAGGTTTTGCAAAATGTCTCTGATGGGAACATTCTGTCATTTCATGTCTGAAAATGTCCCAAATTTAAATGTGCGTGCCACAGCTTTTCTAATTAGTGTAACTCAACAAGATTAATTTGGGTCTGCGTATCACTCCCAGGACTCAAAATATAACTCAGAGGAGGAGAGGAGCGAAAGCCATCACCC